GGGGACATCAGAGGGGACATGGGGACATTGGGGTCTATGGGGACAACCTCCTTCTTCAGGAGCTGCTTGACGACCTGGGGACACGGGGACAAGGGGACATCAGAGGGGACATGGGGACATTGGGGTCTATGGGGACAACCTCCTTCTTCAGGAGCTGCTTGACGACCTGGGGACACGGGGACAAGGGGACATCAGAGGGGACATGGGGACATTGGGGTCTATGGAGACAACCTCCTTCTTCATGAGCTGCTTGATGACCTGGGGACAAGGGGACATCAGAAGGGACATGGGGACATTGGGGTCTATGGGGACAACCTCCTTCTTCATGAGCTGCTTGATGACCTGGGGACATCAGAGGGGACATGGGGACATCAGAGGGGACATGGGGACATGGGGACATCAGTGGGGACATGGGGTCTATAGGGACAAAGTCCTTCTTCAGGAGCTGCTTGATGACCTGGGGACATCACAGGGGACATGGGGACATCACAGGGGACATGGGGACATGGGGACATCAGTGGGGACATGGGGTCTATAGGGACAAAGTCCTTCTCCAGGAGCTGCTTGATGACCTGGGGACAAGGGGACATGGGGACATCAGGGGGGACATGGGGACATCAGTGGGGACATGGGGTCTATGGGGACAAACTCCTTCTTCAGGAGCTGCTTGATGACCTGGGGACATGGGGACATGGGGACATCAGAGGGGACATGGAGACATGGGGACATCAGTGGGGACATGGGATCTATAGGGACAAAGTCCTTCTCCAGGAGCTGCTTGATGACCTGGGGACAAGGGGACCTGGGGACATCAGTGGTGACATGGGGACATCAGTGGGGACATGCGGACTACGGGGACAAACTCCTTCATAAGTTGCTTGATGACCTGAGGACACGGGACATGGGGACAACAGGGAAATGGGGGCCACCAGGACCTAGGGACACAAGGACCTGGGGCCACGGGGACATGGGGACCAGGAGGGGACATGGGGACAAGGAGGGGACATGGGGACACTCACGGAGTTGCAGGCGTTGGCCCGCTCCACCTTGGAGAGGCTCCGCACGTCGGTGTTGAAGACGTTCATCTTCTCCACGAGACACGTGAGCGCCGTCTCCGTGGCCTCTCCCACCTTCTCGTAGATGCCCTTGGCCTTGGGGACAAGGAGGGGACGTCACCGGCGCCACCCGGGTGGCCGGGGAGGACCCTTGGAGCATCCCAAGGAGGGACGGCCAAGAGGATCCCAAGGAGATGGCCAAGAAGAGCCAACGGATCCCAAGGAGTTGGCCAAGAAGGGCCAATGGATCCCAAGGGATGGCCAGGAAGGGCACAGATCCCA